AGCAGGCAGGAGAGCCTGTGTCATTCCTGGTCATTCCTACCCACCCCTGACCATCCCTGACCATTCTCAGTGTCCTCCCCTGACCACCCCTGACCATCCCTGACCACCCCTGACCATTCCTGACCATTCCCGCCCACCCCTGACCATTCTCAGTGTCCACCCCTGACCGTTGCTGGTCATTCCTGACCATTCCTGACCGTTCCTGGTCATTCCTGACCATTCCCACCCCACCCCTGACCACGCCGTGTCCCTCAGGAGTCTCGGAGACGCTCTGGGCCATCGAGATGTGGGAGCCGGCGGCGCAGGCGTTCCGGCTCAACAACCCCGGCACCACGGTGTTCACCGAGGACTGCAACGTCCTCCTCAAGCTGGTGATGGCCGGCGAGAAGACCAACTCCTTGGGCCAGAAGCTGCCCCAGAAGGGCGACGTGGAGATGCTCTGTGGTGGCCCCCCGTGCCAGGGCTTCAGCGGCATGAACCGCTTCAACTCCCGCACCTACTCCAAGTTCAAGAACTCCCTGGTGGTCTCCTTCCTCAGGTGGGCGGGGAGGGGGTGGTGAGATCTTCATCCGGTGTCCTCTGGTGGGCGTGGACCACAGCTGGTGGGTGTGGAGGGGATTTTTGGGATGAGATCTTCATCCGGTGTCCTCTGGTGGGTGTGGAGGGGATTTTTGGGGTGAGATCCTCATCTGGTGTCTCCTGGTGGGTGTGGAGGGGATTTTTGGGGTGAGATCCTCATCTGGTGTCCTCTGGTGGGCGTGGACCACAGCTGGTGGGTGTGGAGGGGATTTTTGGGATGAGATCTTCATGCAGTGTCCCCTGGTGGGCATGGACAGGATTTTTGGGATGAGATCCTCATCCGGTGTCCTCTGGTGGGCATGGACCACAGCTGGTGGGTGTGGAGGTGTCCTCTCTCCAGTGTGGAGAGGGTTTTCTGGTGTTTCCTGGTGGGCGTGGACAGGATTTTTGGGATGAGATCTTCATCTGGAGTTCCCTGGGGGGCATGGACCACACCTGGTGGGTGTGGAGATGATTTTTGGGGTGAGATCTTCATCTGGTGTCCTCTCTTTGGTGTGGAGGGGATTTTTGGGGTGAGATCTTCATCCAGTGTCCCCTGGTGGACATGGAGGAGATTTTTGGGATGAGATCCTCATCTGGTGTCTCCTGGTGGGTGTGGAGGGGATTTTTGGGGTGAGATCCTCATCCAGTGTCCCCTGGTGGACATGGACAGGATTTTTGGGATGAGATCCTCATCTGGTGTCCTCTCTTTGGTGTGGAGGGGATTTTTGGGATGAGATCTTCATCTGGAGTTCCCTCATTGATCTGCAGAGGATTTTTGGGATGAGATCTTCATCCAGTGTCTCCTCACCAGTGTGGAGGAGATTTTTGGGATGAGATCCTCATCTGGTGTCCTCTGGTGGGTGTGGAGATGATTTTTGGGATGAGATCTTTATCCAGTATCCCCTAATGGGTGTGGAGAGGATTTTCTGGTGTCCCCTGGTGGGCATGGAGGAGATTTTTGGGATGAGATCCTCATCTGGAGTTCCCTCACCAGTGTGGAGATGATTTTCTGGTGTCCCCTGGTGGGCGTGGACCACACCTGGTGGGCATGGAGATGATTTTTGGGATGAGATCCCAGGATTTTTGGGATGAGATCTTCATCCAGTGTCCTCTCTCCAGTGTGGAGATGATTTTTGGGATGAGATCCTCATCCGCTGTCCCCTCACCGCTCTGGAGATGATTTTCTGGTGTCCCCTCACCGCTCTGGAGATGTTTTTTGGGGTGGGACACCGGCTGGGGTCCCCTGATGGACATGGACCACACCTGCTGGGTGTGGAGGGGATTTTTGGGGTCCCCCAGCCACGCCCACGTCCGTCTGTCCCCGCAGTTACTGCGATTATTACCGGCCGCGCTTCTTCCTGCTGGAGAACGTCCGGAACTTCGTGTCCTTCAAGAGGTCCATGGTGCTGAAGCTGACCCTGCGCTGCCTGGTGCGCATGGGCTACCAGTGCACCTTCGGGGTGCTCCAGGTACCTTCTCCAGCACCACTTTTGGGGGGAAAAAACCCTTTTTTGGCGCCCCGAGAACGTCGGGGAGGTTCCCAAAGGAGATGTCAGATCCCGGTGGGTTCTCCAAAGTTCCTGGTGGGTTCTCCAAAGTTCTCAGTGGGTTCTCCTGAGTTCTCAGTGGGTTCTCCAAAGTTCCCAGTGGGTTCTCCAAAGTTCCTGATGGGTTCTCCAGAGTTCCTGGTGGGTTCTCCAAAGTTCCTGATGGGTTCTCCAAAGTTCTCAGTGGGTTCTCCAAAGTTCTCAGTGGTTCTCCAGAGTTCCCCATGGGTTCTCCAAAGTTCCTGGTGGGTTCTCCAAAGTTTCCAGTGGGTTCTCCAAAGTTCTCAGTGGGTTCTCCAAAGTTCCTGATGGGTTCTCCAGAGTTCCCCATGGGTTCTCCAGAGTTCCCCATGGGTTCTCCAAAGTTCCCCATGGGTTCTCCAAAGTTCCTGGTGGGTTCTCCAAAGTTCCTGGTGGGTTCTCCAGAGTTCTCAGTGGGTTCTCCAGAGGAGGATTGACCTCTTGGGTGTCTCTGGGGCTGTTCCCACCCCTGTCCTTCAGGAATTGTCCCCTAAAAGTCCCTGCTGTCCCCTGTGGTGTCCCTGCTGTCTCTTGAGGTGTCCCAGCTGTCACCCCGGGGTGTCCCCGCTGTCCCTTGGGGTGTCCCTGGTGTCACCCTGGGGTGTCCCCGGTGTCCCCTGGGTGTCCCCGG